TCTTAAACACGATCAACCTATTAGTTTTCGACCGAGAAAGTTGTCATTTAGCGATAAGGAAAAATTAAGGGCCGTTTTAGATAATTATTTGGAAAATAACATAATAAGACCGAGTAGTTCACAGTATGCAAGCCCAATTGTTCTCATTTCAAAAAAAAATGGCGAGTCGCGATTGTGCGTTGATTATCGCGCTATAAACGCGATAACCCTTAAGGATAATTACCCCACCCCCTTAATCGAAGATCATTTAGACCGATTAAAAAATAAAAAATATTTCTCTAGTTTAGATTTAAAAAACGGCTTTCACCATGTAAAGATGTCCGAATCTTCAATACCATTTACGTCATTTGTCACCCCGTTGGGCCAGTTTGAGTTCCTTAAGATGCCCTTCGGTCTAACTAATGCGCCCCGTGTCTTTCAAAGATATACAAACTTAATTTTTAATGACTTAATTCGACAAAATAAGATTTTAATTTATTTAGATGACATTTTAATCGCTACAGACGATATTAATACTCACTTGGAGATCCTTGAGGAAATTTTCAGATTGTGTTGCGAAAACAAATTAGAGTTAAGGCTAGATAAATGTACCTTTATGTACAACCAAATTACTTACCTTGGTTATTTGTTAAACGAAAGTGGCATACGACCGAGCGTCGAAAATGTCCAGTCAGTCCTCGACTATCCGGTTCCCCGTAACTCCAAAGAAGTCCATCGTTTTTTGGGTCTTTCTAGTTATTTTAGAAAATTCATTCCTAATTTTTCGATTATAGCAAAACCATTGTATGACCTGATTAAGAAAGATGTCACATTTAAGTTTTCCGAAGTCGAGAATAAAGCTTTTCAAGAATTGAAATTGCGACTGTCGAGTCACCCGGTTTTGTCAATTTACTCTCCCAAACTTGAAACGCAATTGCATTGCGACGCAAGCGCTTCCGGTTATGGTAGCATTCTTATGCAACGTCAAGAGAATGGCAAATTTCAACCCGTCTTTTTCTTTAGTAAAAGGACTACCCCAGCAGAGTCCAAATACCACTCTTTTGAGTTGGAGTGCCTTAGCGTTATTTACGCTATTAAGCGGTTTCATTGTTACTTATCGGGCATAAAGTTTACCATAATAACCGATTGCGATAGTTTTCGAATGACGTTGAGTAAGCAAAATGTTAATCCGCGAATTTCTAGATGGGCTATGTTTCTTCAAAATTACGATTACGAGATAGTACATAGGCCAGGTTCAAAAATGTCGCATGTGGACGCGTTGAGCCGTTGTCACAGTATTCTTGTAATAGAAGGCAATACGTTTAGTCAGGACCTTTCACTAAGACAAACTAAAGACAAAATCATTTCAGAAATAAGGTCCGAGTTAGAAAAATCTGAAAGTAAGCTATACGAGCTTCGTAATGGTTTGGTTTATAGAAAAATGGACGATGACAGACTTTTATTTTACGTGCCTCGGTCGATGGAAAATAATGTTATACGCACATGTCATGACGATTTAGGACACGTCGGCGTAGACAAGGTTATTGCAAACTTATTAAAGCTGTATTGGTTTCCGAACGCGCGCACTAAAGTCAAAGACTATATTACTAATTGTTTGAAATGCTTAGAATATTCCCCTTTAAGTGGTAAGCAAGAGGGATTTTTAAATTCAATCCCTAAAAGCGAAGCGCCCTTTCAGACAATTCATATAGATCACTACGGACCGTTAGAGAAATGTAGTCGAGGGTATAAGCATATTTTTGCAGTCATCGACGCTTTTACGAAATTTATAAAGTTGTTTCCCTGTAAGAGTACAGGTACGGACGAAGTGATTAAGCATTTAGTACGATACTTTAGTTTCTATAGTAAACCCAGACGGATTATTGCAGATCGCGGAACCGCCTTTACCTCTAATGCCTTTAGAGAATTTATTAACGAGGAAGTCATCGATTTGGTTTTGATCGCAACCGGAACCCCCCGTTCGAACGGACAAATTGAACGATTCAATCGCTGTCTTACTCCTATGATCGCCAAGACGTGTCAGTCGCCCGAAAAATGGGATGAAGTTATCCAAATTGTAGAATTTTCACTAAATAATACTGTTTGTCGCTCGATTAATGAAACACCTTCGAGAGTTTTATTTGGTGTAGATCAACAGGGCACCGTTAATGATATTTGTAAATTAGTGCTAGAGTCAATTAATCCTGTTAATCGTGACATTAAAGAGATAAGAGAAAATGCCGGATTAAAGATTTCTCAAACACAACAGGAGAACGCTGATTATTATAATAAAAAACGCAAGCCGCCGAGTAAGTACATTGAGGGTGATTTCGTTATGATTCGCAACCACGACACGACACCCGGTGTCAACAAAAAGCTTTTGCCCAAGTTTAAGGGGCCATTCTTAGTTTCAAAAGTTTTAGATCATGACCGCTATGTCGTCACCGATATACCCGGTTTTGAGGTTTCTCAAAAGCCCTTCACTACTGTGGTAGGGCCGGATCAGATGAAACTGTATTTGTAGATATTATTAATTAATAGTATTAGTTCTTAGGTTAATTAGTTATTATTGTCTTGTGAGCTAGGTTTAATTAAGATAATAGTTTTGTATTATGTCAAGTATTATGTTAAGTATTATGTCATTATGTATCAGTATTATGTTTAAAACTACTTTTTTTATTATGATTGGTCAAGGGTCGACCAATAGGTCAGGACGGCCGAACTGTAGGCAATTTCTGGAGAATGTCACCAGATTTAGGGACATTAGGTTTGTTAGGTTTGTGCGTTGGTAACGAACAGGGAATTATTATTATGTTGGCAATGATGATGGTGTGGTTCGAATAAGTCGGACACATCGTTTTTTCGTATTATGTAAAAATATTAGAAATCCATTTAAAATATACCATTTAAATACAATTAATAGTGTGTTAGTGTCTTCCCCAACGGCCTCCCTAAATTTATTTATTTATTTCGAAACTTATTACAAAAATTCATTCAATGTGGTCTTGACCGTGAAGAGAGAAAAGACTGTCGTAGCCAGCGATAATTACCTCGGAACTAAAACTCAGTGGCGCCCTCTGTTATCCAAAAAATTAATCAAAAAAACTATGTTAGAGAAAAACCCCGCAAATTTTGCAAAAACCCAATTTAATTATGTAAAAAAAATTCTTTAAGAAGAATTAAAATTGTTTAATATATTTATTAGAAAAATTTTTAATACAAAACTGAATATAAACTAGTGTTACTCAGATTTACCTGTTGGTTTAATGTCATAAGTGTATTATCTTTATTCAATTTGTAAATTTCCAGAGTCTTCAAGTTATTTAAGGTTAAACCCTTTCCCTGTCTATGTAGTATATTAAAATCTTTAAGAAAATTAAAATTATGTTTATTATCTTTTAAGTGGTTTGAAAAATGTGAACTTCTGTTTTCAGTCTGTCTAAAAGCTCTATCGTGTTCCAACATTCTCTGTTTATAACTTCTAAAAGTCCTACCCACATATGTCGCTTCACAATTTTTGCATTTCAAACTGTAAACTCCACATAAGTCTAATTTATCTTGTTTGTCTTTGTTATTTACAAATAATAAGCTATTACTGTTTACAGTTTTAAATGCTATTTTAATATTGAAATTTAATTGTTTATTTTCTAAAATATTCTTAATTAAAATTGAGGGGCCACCAACGTAATTCACAGGAAAAAATCTGACAACTTCATCTCTATTATTTATTTTAGTTAACTGTGATATTGCATCTCTAAAATGTCCTAGTTTACGTTTTTCTAAAATTCTATTTATCAATGCATCATTGTAGCCATTTTCATCTGCTATCTGTTGAATGATTTTTAATTCTTTATTATAATTTTCTTTTGACATAGGGATGTTAAGAAGTCTATCGATAAATGAGGTGAAAGCTGCTATTTTATGTTGCCAAGGTGAGTTAGAATCTTTATTAATAACTATCCCCGTATGAGATGTTTTTCTATAAATGCTAAAATCATGCTTGTTATCTATTAATTTAATTGTTAAGTCCAAAAAGTTTAATTCTCTATTTTTGTTTTGTATTTCTATTGTAAATTGAATCTTACTGTTTATTGAATTTATAAAGAATAAAAAATCATTCAACAAGTTTAAATCCCCCTTCCACAAAAATAAAATATCATCCACATATCTATGGTAATAACAAATTTTCTCAGTATATGACTTAGCAGCCTGATTATTAAACAAATTACATTCAAAATTATCCATGTAAAGGTCAGCTAAGATAGGACTCAAACATCCACCCATTGCCAGACCATCTTTGGCTTGCCAAATTTTATTATTAAATTTAAAAAAATTTTGCTCTAAACATATTTCCAAAAGGTCGTAGTATTCTTGAACTATAGAATCAGAAAAATGGCTATCCAGTAGTTTATTTTTAACAATTTGTTTTATCTCCATAATTGGAATGTTTGTAAATAGGTTTTTAACATCAAATGAAACCAAAATACTATCACTTTCTACAACTATATTTTTAATTTTATTGACTAAATCTAATGAATTTTTAACTGTGTATTTAGGATTGAAATTAATTGCATTTTTAAGCTAAAATTTAACCATTTTGCTAAGTCATATGTCACTGAATTAATGGATGATACCACTGGTCTTATTGGGATATCAGCTATAATATTTGTCTTGTGTAGTTTTAATAATGCATATAGTCTAGGAATTAAAATGTTATTTGGCAATAATTTAACTATTAACTTATCATCTAACAAATTTTTGCAATTTTTAATCGTTTCTTTTACTTTTAAATTGAATCTATTAAATTTAAAATTATTTAAAGTTTCAAAATCATTTTCATGTAAAAACTTCTCTACTCTACTAATATAATCTAAGTTGTCTAAAATAACTGTGCAGTTACCTTTATCACTTTTTGTAATTCTAAGTTTATTCTTCACTATCAAATGCGGTAGTGAGAAGCCTAAGAAAGAATTCTTTCTTAGGCTTCTCACTACCGCATTTGGATCCACCTCCTCGTTTTTTCAAGACCTTTTAATTTCGTAGGCGCAATGGTTTCTAAGTCTATCCTTTTCCTCTTCTGTTGTCCTTAGGCTCTGGATTATTGTTTCTGTGTCCACCACCAATTTTTCCATTTCTTTGTTTGTGATGTTGTAAATGGGATTATGTTTTAACCCTTTACCCAGGAGGTCTAACTCTTGACTTGTTAACGTGGTGTTTGACATGTTAAATACCCTGTCGTGGAACTTATGCTTTTTTTCTTTTTTCTGCGTTGTTAAATCTTCTTTTTTAATTAGTCTATTGATCTTCTTCTTAAGTTTTAGGTCTTTAATATGTTTTAGATGTTTAACCATGTCATGAATATTATTTAAGTGCAATTGCAGAATGTTATGTTCCATTATGTGTTGCATTTTTTCCAAAACTGCTTTTAGTTTAAGATTCGTGAAGTTTAACTTAGAATACAGGTTTCTAATTTCCTTTTTGATTGTTTTTCTCTTCAAGGTCAAGACCTCACCATAACTTAATCCATCCTTAAACTTTGAAGTTTCCATATTAACATAAACTGGGAAAATTTTTAATTCTTAAAACCTATTAAACCAAATTGCAGAGGTGATAAAACTACGTGTTCTTGATAGCTTCTTGTAGATATGGATCAGCTTTGCCGGACTAGCAACATCGACTTTATGTATGAAATCCATAATGAGAGTAACTACCAATTCAAAAAAGTTGGGGAAGGAAAAATATAAGTCCAATCTCTCAAACCAAATTTATTAATTAGTACGACCGGTTTCGCAAGTTTATTTTAATTTACTTGCATCTTCAGGTACCCTCTTTTTTAATCTACAAAAAACAACAAACTTTTTATTCCTCACCTTAATATATGTTTTTAATTTTTAATATATGTTTTTAATGTTAAGGTGAGGAATAAAAAGTTTGTTGTTTTTTGTAGATTAAAAAAGAGGGTACCTGAAGATGCAAGTAAATTAAAATAAACTTGCGAAACCGGTCGTACTAATTAATAAATTTGGTTTGAGAGATTGGACTTATATTTTTCCTTCCCCAACTTTTTTGAATTGGTAGTTACTCTCATTATGGATTTCATACATAAAGTAACTATAAATAGTTCATTTAAATCCAAGAAAATATTAAATGTATTTAACCGCAAAAACTGTTGATTCAACATAATTTTTCTCTTAGTGTACAAATGTGGTGCAAAAATGATTATCCAAACACCGTTGGCATAAAAAATCACGACATGATTTTTTAGGCCATCGGTCAATCGCAAACAGCGATGGCATAAAAAATCAAGACATGATTTTCATTTCTCTCGCAGTGACATCCGTATGATGTGCGTATGAATAAAATTTGTGAAAATCACGACGTGACGTTCGTATGATTTTCATTTATCACGCGGCGACTTCCGTATGATATCAGTATGAATAAAATTTGTGAAAATCACGACATAATGTTCGTATGAATATCACGAATGTTGTCCGGGAGGTTAGCCGCCATTTCAAGCATACGGACGGGACAAATCACAAAACTGTTTTTATCAGGGTTGTGAACCGGTCCAAGAACCGCTTGTTTGTTACGAACCGGTCCGTACCCAAAATAAACAAGTTATAATTCTGGACCGGTCCATGGACCGTCCCGTTTTTAAAATTACTTGGACCGGTACAAATTTTGAACCGAACCGTTTTCAAGTGTTTTGGAGCGGTACTGGACCGGTTTAAACACTTTGAACCGGTCCATACATTTGTATTATTAGATTATTTCCACTCCCATTTCATATTATTGACATTATTATTATTACTGTGATTTGAACCAATCGGGTTTTAAATTGGAAAAAGTGAGATTGGAACTAACAGATGGGTCATTCCACCAAATAAAGTTTTTTTTTGTTGTCCCTCGCGGATTTTTGAAGTGAAACTTTAAACGCGCGCAAAGGGATAACTGCTCTAAATCCAATTTTCATATAATAATATACATACATATATAATAATTTCGTAATAGGTACACACTACGTGCTGGTATAAGTATATATAAATGGCGTCCACGCCAGGTCGGGTTGTCCTCCGTAACATTGTTCTTTCTTAAATAGGACACTTTAAATTCTAAAATTTGGCAAAATGGCTTTTAGCAACGTTGCCAGGTTTTTTAATAGACGTCCAAGACAGTTTTTTTGTCAGGGACCGTGCATATTAAACAGTATTACATACATATTTAAATTTTAATTGATGATTATGTATTCGCATTATTGCGCAGTGTGTACCAGATGTTTTTTTATGCGCAGTAGGTACCAGATGGTTGGGTCCATGTGCAGTAAGCACCAGGTGGTTTTATGTGTGCGCACTGTGTACCAAATGATTTGATGTATGCGCAGTGGGTACGAGATTATTACGTCTATGCGCAGTAGGTACCAGGTGGTGGTTTCCATGCGTAGTTGGTACCAGGTGGTTTCTTTTTATGCGCAGTAGGTACCAGATTGTTGGATCCATGCGCAGTAAGTACCAGGTGGTTTTATGTGTGCGCACTGTGTACCAAATGATTTGATCTATGCGCAGTGGGTACGAGATTATTGTGTCTATGCGCAGAAGGTACCAGGTGATAGTTTTTATGCGTAGTGGGTACCAGGTGGTGGTTTCCATGCGCATTAGATACCAGTTGGATTTATGTGGGCGCAGTGGGTACCAAATTAAAAAAACAAATATCGTCAAAATTCGAAAAATAATTACTATAGTTAATATTAACAGCTCAAATCTTTAGTGAGTCATTATTATAATGAAGAGAATAATTCCACAAAATTTTAAAAGAATTCTGAAGGGGTCCCCCCCAAAAAAAATTATTTGTTGAAATGACCCATTTATTATATAAGGGGCGACTATAATGATCTTTTAAATCGAGAGAAAGCATGGTTATAATAAATTATGTCAATAATCCAAATTACTTAATTGGAGTAGAAGAAGCATATTACACACGAGATAATATACTATTTTACTAACAAATTACTACTCATTACTACCACTTTTTATTTTGAATTGTTAATTGACTATATTGAAAAGTAATATTTTAGAATATTCAGTACGTAGGTATCAAACATTTAACACCTTTTGTCGTTTACTTGAAAACTCGAAACGTCAAAGCTAAACAAAAAGCTCGCGATCGCAGCCAACTTTAAAATTTAGTTTAAATACTGACCAGGGATCGCGAACCTTTAATTTAAGATCCACGTGTCATTTTTTCTATAGAAATGTTTAATGATTAATTATAAAAAAAAACTAAATACTATCAATATAATAAGTTATTCACGAGAAAGCGATTTTCCGAAAATTTTAATTATTTTCTGAAAATTTTTTGTAATTGGTAAAATAAAAATAAAAATCTAACGTGGAATGATAAATCTAACATTATTTCTAGGGGGACAAATTTTAATGTACGTTTCATGAAAAAATTAAGTGAAATAAATTAAGTGAAAAAACAATAATGTTTTTTACAATTATTGTGAATCAACGAGAAATACGCTCAAAGTGATTCTCTCCATCTTCCGTTATTCACAATGGCAACTGTAAATGACAGGTGTCAAAATAAAGGCTGTCAAAATGGCGGAAGTGCAGAAATAACAGCTATAAAAATTAGTGATGATAAAATGACAGGTGCCCAAATGACAGCTGTCAAAATAAGTTGTAAAAATAACTGGTGATAAAATGACAGGGGCCCGAATAACAGCTATCAAAATGACAGGAGCCCAAATAAAAACTGTCAAAATGACAGGTGCCGAAATGAGCTGTCAAAATGACCGTTTGCTGAAAAAACGTTATCCGAGCAAAGCCGCAAGTATACAGCTATTGAATAAATCACCTTTAGCTAGTGAATCACCATTTATAAGATTTGGAGCAATCCTAATCCACATTTGCTCCATGAGATCCACAAAAAATTTGATTAAACAATTTTTTGTTTTTCTCTTAATTACCTAGTTTAAAAAACTGACCAACAGATTTATGAGAAAATTACAGTATCTTATTAAGAATTAAAAGACCTTTAAAACGATATCACTTAAACCCCCGTGCAATTTAAGATTTTGGGGGCGGGTGGGGTAGAGCGGGTAGGGTGCGGGTGGGGTCGTACAATAAAATGTCTCCCTTTACAAATAAAAATTGACGTGCCACATTCACCCTTTAAAACGTTTGGGAGGATACGTTTTCGTTCGTTCGGACCGGTCCATGGACCGTGGACCGGACCGTTTTTGGCGGTCCACACTGTCAATGTTCCAAAACGGACCGGTTCAGTCGAACCTATTTTTGCTGGACCGGTCCAACACAAACGGTCCACAAACGGTCCGGTTACATGGACCTTTTTTGGAACTGAACCGCTGGCGAACCGGTCCATGGACCGAAATTTTGTTACGGTTCACAACCCTGATTTCTGGTTACCGTTTGTTTTGGTTAGGTTAGGCTACTAAAGGCTAGGTGACCCTACTAAAATATTGTACATAAATATTACCTTACTATGAAACTTTTGATGATCGTTATTACCCGCTGGTCGTCATTCCCCCACTTTACCCTACTATTATACAGAAACTACTGCGCATTGATAGTATCATCAATTTAATACAATCATTAGGTAACCACTACGCATAAATCCAACCATCCGGCACCCACTGCGCATGGTTGCAACCATCTCGTCCCCACTGCGCATAAAAAGAATTATTTGAGACTTTCTGCGCACACATTAAATCGACTGATACCCACTGCACATAGAAACAACCACCTGATGCCCACTCCGCATGGTTCTAACCACCTGGTACCTAGTGCGCAATGACAAAACCATCTGGTACTCACTGCGCAAGGATTTAATTTGGTAACCACTGCACATGGTTACAATAATCTGGTACCAACTGCACAAGAACACAATCATCTGGCATTCACTGCGCATGGATTTCATCTGGGAACCACTCCGCATGGATCCAACCACCTGGTAGCCCACTGCGCATGAACACAACCATCTGGCACTCAATGCGCATGGATTTCATCTGCAGTGTGTACCATGGTACACACTGCGAAGTAACACAATCATCTGGTACCTTATGCGCATAGATCCAACCACCTGGTACCTTATGCGCATGGATCCAACCACCTGGTACCTTATGCGCATAGATCCAACCACCTGGTACCTTATGCGCATAGATCCAACCACCTGGTGCCCAAAGCGCATGGTTACAACCACCTGGTACCTACTGCGCATGGACACAACCATCTGGAACTCAATGCGCATGGATATCATCTGGTACACACTGCGAAATAACACAATCATCATCATTGAATGAAATTTATAATTTCATTGAATGGATTGCACAATTTCATTGAATGAAATTCATAATTTCATTGAATGGAATTCATAGTTTCATTGAATGAAATACATAATTTCATTAAATGAAATTCACAATTTCATTGAATGGAATGCACAATTTCATTGAATGAAATACATAATTTCATTGAATGGAATGCACAATTTCATTGAATGAAATTCATAATTTCATTGAATAAAATTCGTA